CCCTAAACACAAACTCACCTCTTTCATAAATAACACGCTTGTTCTGCAATAATATGCTTTATGTTTCCTGTAATTTTTGTTTGGAAAGGACATGCCTGAAAGACACGACTCAACATTTTCTCCTTCTCTGAGGGTCAAGAAGAACATCCAAGAGGAAAATTAAAAGCTGATGTTATGAGATTTTAAGACCAGTACAGGACATTCACTAAGAAACTACTTTTATTGTGAAGTCAGCTGATCGAATGCACCTATTTCCACATCTACACTCCATCAGCTGATTAATTCTATTTGCCTCACTTTATGAGCTTCACAACACCTGTACCTTGTACCGCAGAGTTTGCAACGTCACAAATAAATGGGGCCAATCTTCAGTCAGATGTGAATGTGTAATCTAACATTTTCAGTAAGAATAATGGACAAAAGGAGTGCAAATACAAATTCAATTTATTGAAATCTGAACCAAAAGTTAATCAAACATGTTTTAAATAAAAAGCACATATGGACAGAAGGTGTAAACCTATTAAATGTATAAGTAAACACATTTAGTCAAATAAAGTGACAGACAAGGCCTGTGCAGGTGGTATCAGCTATGCATGGGCTCCTCCATCAGGCCTGGTCCTCCTCGCAGAGGAAAGACCCTCAGTCCTCTCCAAACCAACAGACAGGACATCCATCACACGGAGGTTTCTCCCTGAAGTCTCTGCAGCTCTCTGGACACCACGCTGTCTCAATCCGTCCACACTCCACACTGAATATGAGAGGGGGAAAATGAAAATAATAAATGCTTTAGACAATAAGAAATATAAAGTTGACTGTTGAGTTGCTCAGTTTTTTTAGATTGTCAATACTATTACTGTATAACTAATATCTCAGGTTAAGAGGCACCTTCAAATAAAGATTGGTCTTTAAATACATTTTGTCTTTTGAATTGTTTGTCTAAAGTCAAGGATCTAGAACTGGTACTTATAGTTGTAATGATACAGTCTGGTTATAATGCTGTTTGGAGGAGGCCTCACAGGTAAGAGCACTAACTAGCTACCATCACATGCACTGTACCTTAGCTTGACTTAAATGTATTAAACGTATAATTAAGTGATAGCAAAATATAAATAACTAATGTCATGCAAACATATTAATATTTGCTTGATTCCAGTGTTGCATTTAGCACATTGCATACAAACGTTAAGGGATTTTAAGATTCTGAAGTATTATGCTAAAAACTCAATAACTTAGATTATTATTTATAGTTTTGCTGAATAGTTTCATGTCCGCTTACCTTAGAAACGTAAAATGTGACGGCAGTGTGCAGATGGGGACCATGTTAGCTTAGCTTCTTAGCTTGAGCTAGCTCTGTTACTTCCCAGCTGGAGGCAGGAGGTCCCGCCTCGGCTCCGCCTCTTTGCCCTTATTTGGAGCAGGCGGGAGTTAGACTCAGACGTCACTGTCGAGCCGTTAGTGGCCGACTCCGCCTACTAAGGGCTTCTCGGCAACTCTGCAGAATCCTATGGGTGACGTCACGGACCCTACGTCCATTTATATATTCTGGGTGTTTCTCAATCGCGAGTAAAGCTGCTTCCGAGCCACTATTTCAAGCATACTACGTCATCGAGTGCCGCCGAAGTACTGTTCCAATCTCCAGTATACTTGGAAATCTACCGAGCCCGGCGTACTCCGTTTGGAGAAATATCGAGTGTGCACATGAGTAGACTTCGCGGCCTTAAAATCCCCACAATGCTTTGCGCACGGACCAATTTCCCCAAATCTGTGGCGGAAGATGTAAGGCGGGGCCTCTCATATGACGCACACCTGCACACTTGCTAGCCTGTTCCACTCTTTGTTTTCCGAATGCCAGGAAGTATTCTTGCCTCGCTTCTGAAGCAAGATGCTCGGCAGACATGTGCTACCAAGCAAGCGTACTCGCGATTGAGAAACACCCACAGTCTATGGTCCACACCAGCGCCATATAGATAGAATACGGCTCTGGTCCACACGTACGAGGAATTTGACTTGATGTCATGGTGCATACATAAAATGTAAAACAAAACATCTAAAAAAAAAAGTACACAGATAGCGAACTATATTAAGAACAAGTACACGATCTGAGTACTTCTCCCACCTCTGAGGACATTCCATGATATTGGCATTCAATTTAATAACCCATAAGAACCCGGACCCATTTCTACTTTTGGGAAAATTAAGGGGAACATAATTTAGACTAAATAGACCACCAAGAACACATTTCTGACAAGTAACCACCCCCTAGTGTCAAAGATCTGAAATGTGACATATATGTCACATTGGGCTTTAATGGTAAAATAACTCTATATATAACTTCATTAATGAGGATGATTTTTTGGTTTAAATTAGTTTGAACATTCTTTGAATTGAAGAATAAGAACATATCAACTCAATATAATGAAATCAGCTAAATGAACTGAGCAGATCATAATAATATTTCTAATTGTGCATATATGTCACTTTGGGTTTACTGTGAAAGTTTAGGGTTAAAGTCCCGATGTGATACCAGTGTCACAGCGATGTTTGTCTCATTTGTTTCACTTCAATTTGATCAAGAAATGTTTCCACAACAGGTTCAATGTAATAAAGCACATGTTATGTAAGCATTTTAATTCTTAAAAGGCTTGAATTTTACCTTTAGCAACAACAAAAAAGCTTTTGAAATGTAGCTAGTTCGGTCACATGTGTTAGTCTGGCACATGGACATCTTGGACATGTTGTTATGGGAACACAAAATCACATGACCTGGAACAGGACCCCCCAGACTGTTCAGGGTGTGTCACTAATGGCGCGTTTCCACTACAGCCCGCAGCCCGGTTTAAGAGGGCTGTGACGTCAGCGGCCCGTCTTTGGTTGCGTTTCCACTTGGCCTAGTACCGGCCGGCGGGTCCTAATTCACAGTTTTTCTGGCCTCATAAAATCGTGGGTCCAGGGCCAGAGACAACGAGGCTGAGTCGGGCTGAGTATGCTAAACTAGAGAGAGCGTCGCTGGCAAGGGGGCAACAACTACAACAAGATGGACATATTTGACCGTGATTTAATTGTAATACACGTTTCAAAATGATGCCGAAGTAACAACATACTGATACCGGTTAGTAAAAACCATGAATTAATGCTTTGTCAAGTCTGCAGACAGACGGCAGGGGAAAAAACCTTTTAAAATGCTTGTTTTCTAAATGGAGATTGGCTAAGCTAACGCAGTATATGCTCCAACCGTCCACACTCACAACAACGGCCTATACAGACATAAATAAAGCAGCGACTGTATTCACCATGACACAGGCAGTCTGTGGTTTGTACTTGTTTAACTTTTGTCTAGTTTCTGAACATATATGAGGAGCTGTGAGCTCTGAGTGCTAACAGCTAACGGCTGTGTTGTTTTTCTGGGGTCCTCTGAAGATCACGTCACGGCTCCGCCTACACTGCGTTACTATAGATACTGCCCCAGTTCCTAAACTGTAATGGAAATGCGCCATAAAGTGAGCCAGTCCTAACGAGGCCCAGCCATACCGAGCGGGGCCGAGCGAGGCCGTGTAGTGGAAACGCGACATTAGGGACTTCATGAGATAAAATAAAGGCTAAAGCTGTATAAGGAACTTTCCAGAACATTTAAAGTTAATGTGACACCCGTGTCACGGTGGGTCCTTATGGGTTGGTGAAATATGTAGACCTTTGGTCCCAAAATACTAAGTATAGACTAATATGGAGAACAGACATGTACAGGGTCAGGGGAGACGACCCAGCCTCAGTCAATGAGGAGAAGGAGAGAGAGAGAGGGGGGTTGCAAAATGGAGAATGTGTCAGGTAGAACCATAGACTGTATATATAAGGGTAGAACGCTGAAAACTCGGGATCACCAGAAGATAACACGTCCCTGACTTAGAGGGACAGTAGGCTACATCTGTCCTCAGTCAGTCCTCAAGTACAAACCATCAACCAAGAAGCCTTCAGCACCCTCAGGTCAGTGCTGGGACACACACAGTCCTGCAACGCTTTGAAGCAAATTCACTTTGAAAATAGTCATTGGGAATTCCTTGTATTCTTTATTATAAATATAAATATATTTGAAAATCTTAAAATGTATTCAATCAAACCAACTGATTTCTAGAAAATATACATAAATTACAATTGTTGAACACTGTCTATTTTTTTATATTGACTAAGAAACAATGGTACCACTTTACAATAAGACTACCCTTATAAAGGGTTTACGAATAGTTTGTAGTTCATTTATTAATTAGGTTGTGAACACTTTATAAATCATTAATAAGCTTTTATAAGACATGAGATAAACAGGGCAACTGTGACCGGTTGCTTGCCAAATAGTGAGCCCACATTTATCTGTACTGCTAAGTCTTATATTGGTTACCTAATTACTTCGTCTTCATTAGCAGGCATCCTTGGTATCTGTTGCTCACCGAGTTGATTCTCGCTAAATAGAAGGCTTAGTCATCTTGCCAAATAGTGAGCCTGTGTTGATGTATGAAAACTATGTTAGAACTGGTTTATACATGGTCGTTAATGATTAATAAAGTGTTTACAACCTAATTCATAACCTAATTATAAACCTTTTATGAATCCTTTATAAGGGTAGTCTTATTGTAAAGTGGTACCGAAACAATGATGTACCTATATATTAAATTAAAACATTGATTTTATTTTGAACATTGATTTGATGCATTCAGACATGAGCTGCTCTCACAGAAAGCTCTGAACAGAGGCAGGTTCACATGTTCGGGGACACATCACGCAGAGCACATCTGTACGTTGGGAACACTGCACTGTGGACACTGTGGCTCCAGGGGTTATCTATCAGTAATATGCGGTAAGAGAAGAAGGATTTCAACATTACCACTGAATCCTCCAATCTCTCCCGGATGACAGAGAGGACCATGTCTTTCTTCTGATCTTGGTATGTTAAAACAAACTTTAGATACATCACTTTGGGGGGTTGCATTTGGAATCCTCCCCCTGTATGCCACATTTGGTTGAGTCCAAGTATCCAGCAGATCCAAGATGGCGTACTGAGCAGCGATGTGCTGAAGTTCACTTTTAACTCTAAACATTGAAGCTCGCTATCCCTCGTTCCTTTATTCGGATTGATGTCTGTTGAGAAAGAATACCGGTGAGTCCGAAACCACTGACAGGTTTTGTATTTCTGACACTGTATATCTTCGGAATGAGAAGATAGCTGTCGTAGCCTCGGCAGCTAGCTGTTATTACAGGTCCCAGTTATCCAGTGTTTACGGGAGAGGGTTTGTACTATCTTGTCGACTGGGCAACACACTAGCACCACAGAGGGGATAGAAGACGACGAAGGCCCAGGTCACTGGTTGGTTCATTAAAGTAGGTTAGACTGAAAGCTGTCGATAGCTGTGCTAGCATTAGCGACAGTCTGGTGACACTGTTGCTTTGCAGAGTTAAGCTAGTTTCTAGCTCGACGAGCTGCTGGCTGTGGAGATGAACTTCTCCTTATTTCTTTTCCGCTGCCTTTCAGTTCTTCATTTAACAACAATGTCTGCTGACACCGAGGTGTAACATATTATGTTGTGTTATCAATAATTGTGTTTTATTTGTTGTGGAGCACCATGTTGTCATCGGTGTAAATCTGATGTTTTGGCTTTCAGATGATCAGTAACACTGTTTACACGAGCCCTGCCTGTCGATCCGGATCATACATTCTGTAACCTTAGCTCTAATCTGCACTTCACATCTCTCTGTTACTGTTTAGTGAGGAATAATTACCGGAGGAATAATTACCGGTGCAATAACAGCATCACTCTGTTCTCCCTCAGTGCTTATCACTCTTAATGAACAGCAGTGAGTGGTGTCATGTTTGAGTGAGAAACCTCAAAACCCACTCCTGAATTTAGAACCCGCATGAGAAGGTCACATTCTGAAGTGGACTCTGTGTGCTTGGCCAGGTTCTGTCATGTTTACCTAACCTTTGATCAAGTGTCACGTGATTGTAATGATATTTTTAAGTGTTGCACTGTTTTCTCGAACGTTTGTGTTCAGTCATGATAACATCAATTTCTCAACATGGTTGCTGTTTCTTAACCTCACTGAACAGGCTGTGGATCCGGTTCATGCTGCGGTCCAACCTGGGCTGAGCCTGTCAGGAGGACAGTTTGTCTTTATCCTTCACAGCCAGGGTTGAATTCAGGTCAGATGCTCCCGGCTTTAGTGAAGTGGCTTCTCTTTTATAGAAGGAAAGTTAATTTGTTGATATGAAGTCCAGTTCTTATATCTAGGTCTGTGGACAGGAGCAAAGGACTGAATCTGATGGGTACGTTGATTTGGTTATGATGTCATATCATTCACCACTGAACAAAACAGCAGACTTACAGCGACAATTGTACATTAACCTGTGACAGCTGTGTGATGAGTGAATCACTGTGTGTATTCAGTAAACCTATGTCATTCGCACCTCAGATGTCAGCGTGAACCAGAAACTTCTGAGGCCCCGGCTCCACGAGGACAAATACGGGTTGAATCCGCATATTTCTCATGCGTATAGCCCTCTAAGCTCGACGACGCCGTAAGGGAAACGTAGAAACAGACCCCGCAAACGACAACGGGTCCAAAGGTGGATAGATCTGGGAACGGAGCGCTCTGGGGGGTCCAACGGGGCCGTGGAGTCGCCTATACGGTCATTCGTTTTCATAGCCCCGCCTCTCCCCGCCAGATTCAGAGTCAGATTATTTATCTTTATCTCGATATGAACATAAACGCGAGTGAAGTCTAATCTGACAGGACGGAGACGCGCAGCTCCTCCGGCTGTGAAGCAGCGGGAGCAAAACACACACTTCAAATCAGATCACCACCCATAGCTATTTTAATTACCTCTCAAACTACCTAAACTAGTTATAAATATGTTTATTTTTACTGTCGGGTTTACTTACTGGATCAGCTGCTGCATGAGGAAGCATGAAGATCTAAACTTTAACACACATTGACCGGCGAAAAACTCTGCGCGGTTCCCTCCGCCCCCACCGCGGAGAAAAAACAGAAGTGCAGCCATGACAACCATTCTTCTTCGCTGCTTTTGTGGAGGAAGTTGCTGCTTTTGTGGAGGAAGTTACAGCGCCACGTACAGGTTCGGCATATGTACTGCAGCTTTTCCAGCGTTTGGATGTAAACGGAGCCGTCTCGTGGAGCTTGACACAATCCGGTGTATATTGCGTGGGGACGGAAGGTTTTTTGCGGTTGCATTTGCGTTACTCCGATGCGTTTTGCCGTATTTGTTCTCGTGGAGCCGGGGCCTTAATGTGTCTGTAAAACCGTTTTCTCTTGTTCCATTCAGTTATTTAGCGAAGTCAGACAATTTACCTGGCCATCTCCAAAAGTAATGTACAATTGTATCACCATGAAAACCTTCTAAAGTTTATATAAACCTCTATTGAAATTGAATATGATTGCAGTACTAGGAAAGATTTCCTTTTTAACCAACACATTGGGAATTACTATTTAATTTATTTGTGGCCATGTGTAGTTGTTGAGATTTCTTGCTCTTTACCAAAGTATTTTCAATGGGCCAGTGTTGTAGGGCTGTCCCGAATACCATTTTTCGGGCTCCGGATATTCGATGGTAATCAGCAGCGAATATTCGGATATTCGGCCCGCGGGGGGGTGCGTAGTAATCAGCATCGAACCGCTTCAACACATCTTAAGTGTAATTTGGCTTGGCTTCCTATTTAAAGACGGAGAAAGTAAACGAGAAAGTTTATGGTTAAAGGTGGGGTAGGTAAGTTTGAGAAACCAACTCGAGATACACTTTTTGTTATATTCCATGGAATGCTCTTAACATCCCGATAGCAATGAATATCTTAAGTGCTTTGACAAAAAATCCATAAAAAAATTTCATCTGTGGAAGCCGTAGTACTGTAAAAAGCACGACCAATCATTTTAGCCGGCCCGGCTAAAATAACTGGATGGCCTACCTGCCTGTCAGCCTTCCATCTGTGCACAAAATTATCCCGTGCCCTCATTGGTCATGTGCGTGTGTGTTGGAGGAGGGGCTCTATAAGGAAGTGGCAGATTTTTTCCGGCTGTGTATTTTCAAATTCTAGCGATCTCGAGCTGGTTTCTCCAAAATTACCTACCCCACCTTTAAGTGTTAGCACCCCCCGAAGAGGCACAAGCTCTTACGTTGATATTGGATATTTCAATAAATTCAATTTGGCAGCCGCAGTGCAGTGCGGCTGCCAAATTGAATTTGGATATTCAGATATTCAGATATTCGGGTACAGCCCTACAGTGTTGTTGGGGCAGACTCCAATCCATGTTCAGGTAAAATTGTCCTTGAACCTTAGGCGTAACTCACATAAAATAACAAAGACTTCCACTCGTCAAACAGTTTGACTATGCTATAGTGTGAACATTTTTTGTGCTTGTATTATGAATCACAGTTTTTCATCCTAATAATTGGAATCCTTGTTGAATCTGAAGGCGTGAGGTTAGGAAGTGGCATGTCGAGAATGAGATGACTATAAAAAGCTGATTTCCCCTCTGTGACTTTCCGCTCTCTGACGACTGACGTCTTCGTTTCTGTTCTCCAGCAGAGAGCCAATTAGTGGTGATCTGTAGGCCCCGGCCCCCGTCTGCCCTGAGAGCATATTATGGCGCATTTCCACTGCAGCGCGTAGCACGGTTTAAGCGTGCCGTGCCAAACCCGGCCCGTTTTTTTTTGCTTTTCCACTAGGGGTAGTTCCGGCTCAAGGCTACTTTTTGACCTTTTTTCTGGCCCTCCAAAATCGAGGTTCTTACCGGGCCAACAACCAGGCTGAATATGCTAAACTAGTGAACACTCTCGACTGCTGAATGGTCAGAGAGAATCGCTGGCAAGGGGCTACAACTACAACAAAATGAACATATTTGACCGTGATTTCATTGTAATACACGTTTCAAAATGATGCCCAAGTAACAACATACTGATACCGGTTAGTAAAAAAACATGACTTAATGCTTTGACAAGTCTGCAGACAGACGGCAGGCGAAAAACCTTTTAAAATGCGTGTTTTCTGAATGGAGATCGGCTAAGCTAACGCAGTATATGCTCCGACCGTCCACACCAGGGGTCGGCAACCCCTGGCATGCGGCACCGTAACCAGTGGCACACTAGGAATAAGTGGAATAAGTGTGCAAAATATTTTAATTGTATTTTTGGATCCTGAACGAGACCGCCGCCAGAGCGCGTCTCCCCGTTACCTGCAGAAGGAAGCCATGCACGCAACGCAGCCCCGCTCTGTTTAACTCCAGGTGACTTTCTGCCGCTTTCCTCCGTGGTGCAGGGCTGATCGTTTCACCACAGAGGAAAGCACTTCACAAATTGCAGTACCCATAAGGAGCTTTACAAATGCCGCAGTTTTTGCGTGGCTGTGTCTTTAGTTGAAAGCCCAGTGGCGATCTGCTCATCTCTCATTGAAATAATATGCTACAAAGGGGCGGACTGGCCATCTGTGTGTTGAACTTTCCTGTCGGCTCCCAGACCGTAGTCGAGGAGGGCAGAAGCAACAAGCTTCAGGGTCAATAACCCACTTTAGCTTAAATGACTGGAGAGAGGCGAGCTCTTCTTGGGAGGCCGTTGCATTTATTTAGCTGTTCTTCTGTTTCACAAAATACATCACAGACCTCTGTTTTTCTGCTGCCTCGTTTCACTTCCAGAAACATACACACGCTCGCTCACTGTCGCTCTACCATCCACACACACACACATGCACACGCCACACCCCTCTCTCTCTCTCTTAAAGGGACAGCGATCTCATCTCACTCTGCATGACCCTAATATCATAACATGTGTGTTCTGGAGAATCACAGAACGGACGATCGTCCTTATTATTATGCCGTTTAAACCAATTATTTAAATGTGTTTTTTAAATTCGGCATCATGTAAGTTGCGCTGACAGGTCCACACACTGCTTCCCCGCAGCGAGGCTCCCCCGCCCTCCTGTTGACAGTTCACGAGCGTCAAGCTCCTCAACCCCCCCCCCCCCCCCCCCCGTTGATAATTCTCGATCGTTGGCACGCTGATAACAATTTTTTTTTTTTAATGGCACTTCATATCAAAAAGGTTGCCGACCCCTGGTCCACACTCACAACAACGGCCTGCAGACATAAATAAAC